AAAGTGACGTGCACAAGGAAATCCTTTGAAGAGAATTACACCTAGATTCCATTGCTTGGCACATGAGCATTGAGTTCGTATTCTGGCAAATAACTTTTTAATAGTATTTTAATTGAAAAAAAAAAAAATTAATATGTTATCAATTGTAAAGGGCGCCTAATCACTAATAAAACTAACTGATGATTTAGTTGCATAATATAGCACTAGAGTCGGGTTTTCATAATATCCTAGCAGGGGAAACCAGAAGTTAAAAGGACCAAGTTCACACCTTCAAATTTACAGAGATCTAACAGTAGCCTAATAGTATCCTAACAATAGCTAGTGACGATATAATTAGACTCCAGGAGTTCAAGATATGAACGACGCCTTTTAAGAATGGGAAGCGAGCAAAACTTATCATACTTGTATCAATGTTTCCCCAATTATTTTAATTTAGTTATTACCCAAACCTAGAACAAGTTTACGGCTAGCTAAAAAGAATAGGTTAAGTGCCAAAAAGATCCACGATAAGCTCTAATGGGATGCTAGTATCTACAAAATATGATTGCCTAAACTCTCATGCATGTTGTCTGATCAACTGAGATCTTTATAAATACATTCAAATTAAAGACCGACAAACCAGTAAACATGAAATGAGGAGGGTATATACCAGCAGCAATTGTAACTTCATGAACCACTGCATCAATTTCATCGGTAGTAATTCCAGGTCGAATTACACGAGCAGCTGCATCCAAGACATCCCTTGCTATCTGAAGTTCAAATTTTTAATTAAGACAAGTTCAAGAACCAAACTTTAGAATGAACAGCTGAAAGTATCCCAAATGCATCCCCAAAAAATGACATTGCAACATGTTGGACAAGACAACTATATACAACTACATTATCACTCATTTCACATTGCAATATAGTTTTGATTTTATGAATAGCATGCATTCAACCGTTCAAACGTGAATACATACATCAAACACTAAACCTCTCGAGAAACAATATAGCTTGCTAGAAGTGTGTATATGCATACAGATTCTCCTCATAATGAAGAGAAAAATAGTAGCTTACTCGGCAAGTTTCTCTCATTTTCTCAATTTGATCTGGAGCCTTGATCTTCAATATTTGCACCATGAAAAGAAAATCATATACAGTCAATATCTTTCGAAAATTCTGACAAAGAGCATTTTCAGATCAAAATCAATGATTACCTCAACATGGTATTGCAGATCACTATTGGGCTCAATTTTTGGGATTCCCTGTAAAATTTTAACATTGCAAATGTTAGTGCACCTCAATCCCACAGAAAGAAATCCAATCAAGTAGATGGATAAACTACCCAGCTGTCATATGATTTTATTGATGGGCTTTTTGTCCTAGTAAGCAATTAATATTCTTTCTACATAAGCCCATCCATATAAGTGTCAAATATCTGATGTATAAACATCTCAAAAGAAATCAATTAAGCTACTCACATCAAGTGCCCAGTCAGGCTGATCTATCTGGTTAGGAATCGGACGTCTCTTTGATATTGGATATGGCCTTAATTGCCTGGAAAGTGAAAAAAGAAATTTCAAGACAGGCCAAGCATAACAATTGTTTCAAAGTAAGATGTGACATCAACACAGTAGTTGAGATATCAAATTCCAATTTTCTTTGATTCCGTAGTGGTAATGAATCTTTTCAAGACTATAAAAAAAAAAATAATAATAATAATAATAATAATAATAAAAAGAAGAAGATGAAACTGCCAAGCAAGATGATAGCATCACTACTGCATTTTGAATTGGTGACATTAAGCCCCCGTTTGACAATCATTATAATGAGAAATTTGGGTAAAATGTATTTTAGAATAGTGGTTTTTGGGAGAATGTGTGGTTAAAAGAAAAGGAAAAGTTTTTGATTTACATGTAATATTATTTTATTGAAAAATGTGTGGTTGAAAAGAAGGTAGAGAAAAATGAATTAAAATCTTAAGGGGAATCAAACAAGGGCTAAGTTAGATGGAGTATGCTTATAATTTCATGTCGTAGACAAGAACATACTCCCTTTACCACACACATATTACAATTAGAAGAGAATGTTCAATAATGTTTGCATTTCTAGAAATGCAATCCAGGTATATAATTGATGGATTGGAGACAAAAGGCAGCACTTGTACAGTTGACGTACAAGTTCTACAATGTGGAGGGGCAAGAAGGTAACCCAACTAAATATGAAGAGAAATAATACCCCGTCCAATCGAAATGTGGAAGTTCATGTGAGCGAGCATTCCCTTTCCTCAAGCAGTAGAGCCAACCATCATTCTGTGAGGCTGCATTTTGCTCACCAGGATTTACAGGTGCAGAGGAAGATATTGACTTTGAGTGGACTGACTTGTGAGAACTCCAGGATACCTTGAAACAGTCCTGGGAACTGGTAAAAGAAATAATTCTTCAATAAAAGGGCTTTAAACCCATCAATATCAAAATGGCATGAAGAGATGCTCAGCAAACAGTAGTCCATATGTAGGCTGAGAAAATTTGTAATCCGTTTCTCTTGAAGACACATGACTTCTTATAAATCTGTTCGTTCATCAATTTCGACAGTCAACACTTCATGAATACCATAAACCAAGAGCACACAAAAGTTCTATACTGTGAGCACCACATTCGCATAGCAAGATGTCACTTTTAACTTCCTAATAAAACCATCCATGAGAAACATATATAACTTTTCAAAAACTAATTTTATTACTGAAAGTGTGAACAAATTGACATACTGAAATAACAGAGGATGTTGACCAAAAATTTAATTCTGAAATATATATCACATTTACGAACCAGAAGCAGCACCTTCACGGGGAAGCTTTAACTCTACACACTTTGGGCACCTGCAAGTGGAACAAATATCCAAAAATTGGGTCACACCGACTTTTTTAGAAAAAACAAAGACACCACATAATGCCCTCTATTTCATGGACATTTCAACTAAGGTGGCATGTCCGTGTCTAGCATATGTTGGATACCGACACTTTTTGAACACTCTATCATAGTCATTTTTATTTCTTTGCCTCCATCTGGTTATGATTTTTCAAGCCAAAAAATCAATTTTTTGACTATTACTAACCATAGTCAGCCGTCATTTTTAACCTCTTCACTCACATTTGGGACTCACATTTCAAGCAAACAGTCAAAAAATTAATTCTCATAATCAAAACCAAACAGGCCCTTTATTGGAACTATTATATATTTAAAATTAATCCTATTATTAAATAACAAACAGTTGATTTTATTTAGAATATTTCAATAAGAAAAATTAATAACAAGTACAAAAATAAATTTATATTATATAATTGATAAATTTTAAATAATTTAGTCAACGTATCGATGACGTGTCAATAATTTTTTGAGAAATTCGACACGTGTCGACACACGTATCTGTGCCGATGCATCATAAATAATGCCAAATTAAGAAACCATCCTATAAGCACAAGAAAACAAACCTTGATCATCTCAATTGAATTTCCACGTTAGTTATTCCAAAACCTGTATCTGTAAATAGCATAACCTTGAACGTCTTTGCATCACCATGATAGCCCGGCACAATGCGGCCGGTAAGCATCCTTCCTCATTTTGTGCAAATGTCATTTTTTTAAGTCATTCCATACAAATTCAACCATGCTCTAATAAATTAGTGATGACCGTAGATTCTATTAGCCAAAACAATAAAAGTCCACCGAAATTATTAACCAAAAAATCATCAAAGCAAATATCCTGACAATCAGATTTTCCTAAAAATGTAAACCCCCCCCCCCTCCACCCCCACAAAATAATAATAATAATAATAATTAATAAATAAATAAATAATCATTCAATCTTAACAGCTTAATATAACTTAAATGTGTGTACGGGTTTTACAAAAAAAAAAAATTACAAATTTAAAGGGCTGATGATTACATACTGAAGATGAGCAGGTTTGCCACATTTAGCACAGGATAAAGTTGTATTCTCCACCGCATCGGATCCGCCGGCCATCACTTTTCACACTGCGTCAAACATAATTCATCAAGTATATGTATGTATTAACAGAAATATATCTTCTCTCATGAAAGATTGAGACCCAAGAACAAAAATCTTAGCGGAGGAAACAACGAACCTTGAATTTTCGATTTGTGATCGTCTTTTAGAGGATGCAGAGGCCGGGAGGTTGAGCTACTAGGGTTTACTGGGGGTATGATCAATGGTGTGAAATAGTTGCCGTGGTCAAATTGTATTTCATTTTTCTATTGAACTTATAAATTTCAATAAAGCTACTTGACCAGACTGAAATCCAGGCTTGAGTACAGAGATTTGAAAAGTCAAATTTATCATGCATTTTGGCCGGAATACAGGGATTGCTAATATTGGCTTTGGAGGGAATTTAAGGCATACACAGCAATTATTCTACCATATACAGTTTTCTTTTGGCTGAATGAAAAGAAGCATATCAAAACTCCAATTTTCTCAAATCTTCATCTTCACGAATTAAGAACTCCCACCTTCATCCAACATCTTCATAATCACATTTGGCAAAATAATATCAGCCTGGACTTCAGGTGAATGTTCAAGGAAACCCGTTACAACTTCATCCTTTGTGAGAGATGACTGGAGACAAGTTGCCACTGGAGACGGCAGCGGTGCTCAGAAATCAATTGCCGGGTTCTCCGATAAGGATTCTGGCTAGTAGCCATTTTCTCCTGTAATGAAAACTTCTTCCTCCTGCTGTAATTATAAAGGGGAAAGGGGAGAATGTGATGATGAAATTGTAATTATAAAGGGGAAAAGGGGAGAGATAGCAATGGTGAAATTGTTAGGATTTTGTTCAACAATTGGAGCAATAAAAGTAATTTAATTTCAGTTTTTTGTACGTTAGCTTTACAGGTTTTCACTAACTGCTAGTAACTACTCTTCATTCCGGTGAATTGATTGCAAACGCATACCACTGTACTCATGGATCAGTTACTGGTCCCTCTGCGCGATTAATGTCCATAGAAAAATTGGATTGGTGGAGTTGAATGGTGACGATATTGATATCAATGAAGACAGCATAGAGCATAAAACATGAATCAAGAATATAGGCAACAAACCAAAACATACAGGCACAAGTTTTCTCCCAACAAACAAACCAAAACATACAGACCCAGACGATTAACACCATACATTCACAAGCTTGTATCCATAGGCAATGGAAGATAAAAGCAAGGGAATCGAGGGATCTTTCTGGTTATTAAAAATGATTGTTGGAATTTTTTTGATGTTTATAATTTGAACAACAGAATGATTGCCATCCCTTCCCTTCCCTTCCTTTCCCTTCCATCCATTCATTTACTTGGTAAAACACACTACAGATCCAATTTTTATGAATTCTATCACTGCAAAATCACAGCCTTTTCATGCTTTTACACACTGCAGGTTCGAATAGGGGCGAACCCACATGGGGTCATGTGGGGTCAAATGACCCCACAGTTTTTTTTTCCATTTTTTTTTTTTTTGGTTTCTACTGTTGAAACGGTTTGTTGGGTTTGGGTTTCCAAAGTCCAATTAAATCAATCAATTAAACAATTTTCCAACAGCCCATAAGCCCAATGTAAATCCATTATCCAATCCAATTAATCCAATTCCTAAGACCAATGACCAATCCATTATCCACTCTCCACTCCACCCCGTCTCCCTTGTCCCCGGTCTCCCAACTCTCACTCTCCCCAGTGCAGTCCCCACCGATTTCTTCCCAAACAGTAGCAGCGCAAGCGGCAGGCACGAAGGGCGAAGCCTTCCTTTTCCAAATTTCCACCGATTTCTGCACTACAGCACCTTCGTGTAATCGTGTTCCACTTTCGCCTTTCGGTAAGTTAATTTTGTAGGGTTTGGATGAACACATTAAATGAAATCTTCATTATTCTGATTCACTGTCACTAACTCACACTCACTGATTTGGTCATTTTGGTGTGAATCGTATCATTGTATGAAAGTATGGACCGTAAGTCACCGTATGGTATGGAATTGATTTTTTACAAATTGGGAAAAATCATTTAAATTATTAATTATAGTTCCAAATTAAAATTTTTCACTGCAATGACTACTATGTACTGAGCTCAGTAGTCAGTAGCTCACTGCTGCAGTGCTACTGGAAGTTCCTGGAGGCTGGAATTTAGAAGTTAGACCTCAATTCCAATTCCAAGTAAGTAATGACTGGCTTTCTCTAACTTGGGGATTTAGAATTGTTTATGGAATTCAATTAATTGTTGTTTATTATCAATTTAGTGTTATGTTTTGATGAAAACTGATATATGTTATTTATTTATTGATATGTGATTCTAGGTTGAATTTATTTTTTTTAACGGTCATGGAGAAATATTTTAAACGAAAATTCGAATGTTCAAGTGGAGAGCAAATTAATTCTGAAACGAGTAATCAAAAAAAACAAGATGGCCAAAAAGAAATAGAATCAAATACCGGGAGTCAATGAGATGTTTGGGATAAAATTGATTTAGCATAATTACCTTCGGATCCTGGATTAAGAACTCCAATTGCGAATTACAATGTTAATGTTCAGGATGAAATCCGAAAAGCATACGTAAAAAAGGGTCCATGTCAGCCTCGAAATCACTTGTGTCCACAGAAAGAATTTGGAGATTCGTCGTTAAGACGATTTAAAACTTCGTGGTTTAATGACTTTCCTGATTGGTTGGAATACAGTATAGCAAAAGATGCCATATTTTGCTTTTATTGTTATCTTTTCAAACCAAATAGTGAAGAACATGGTGGTGGTGATTTTTTTATTGATGGAGGATTCTCAAATTGGAAAAAGAAAGAAAGGCTTCAAATTCATGTCGGGAAAAGTGGTAATGCACACAATCGAGCTCGGATTAAGTATGAGGCTTTTGTGAATCAGAAACAAAATATTGATTGTGTTCTCTTTAAGAAGTCGAAAAAAACAAAAGATGAATATCGAATTCGTTTGAATGCGTCAATTGATTGTGTTCGATTGCTTCTACGACAAGGGCTTTCGTTTCGTGGACATGATGAATCAGAAAATTCAAGAAATCAAGGAAATTTTCGTGAAGTTTTGCAGTGGTTATGTGATCATAATAAAGAGATTAAGGATGTTTGTTTGAGTAATGCTCCCGAAAACTTTTAGTTAACATCACCTAAAATTCAAAAGGACATTGTGAGTGCTATTGCATTTGAAACACTTGATGTTATTATGAGGGATATTGGTGATAGGTTATTTTCCATTCTTGTTGATGAATCTCGTGATGTATCAGTGAAGGAGCAAATGTCCATTGTTCTACGTTATGTGAATCAGAAAGGACAAGTAACAGAACGTTTTATTGGAGTAGAATATGTCTCTAGTACCACAGCTCTTTCACTTAAGGATTCTATTGATCACTTATTCTCTCGATTTAACTTAAGTATATCTAGTTTAAGAGGTCAAGGTTATGACGGGGCAAGCAACATGCGAGGTGAGTACAATGGTCTTAAAGCACTTATTTTGAAAGAGAATCCAAGTGCTTTTTATATACACTGTTTTGCTCATCAACTACAATTAGCTCTTGTAGCTGTGGCAAGCAAGCATGCAGAAATTGAAACATTCTTTACTTTGGTGAATAAAGTGGTAAATGTTGTTGGTGGATCGGCTAAGCAATGTGATCTTTTCGAGAGAAGAAGAGGCTTGAAGTTGTTGAATCATTAAATCTTGGTGAAATCTCAAGTGGAAAGGGCCTTAATCAAGAAACTACTCTTAAGCGACCTGGTGATACTCGTTGGGGCTTTCACTATAATTCTTTACTTAACTTGATTATCATGTTTTCTGCTACAGTTGATGTCGTTGAGATGATTGCCACTGATGATACTAGTTGTGGAAAGCGAGGGGAAGCACGTATTTTGTTGGGATCTATGTTGACATTTGATTTTGTATTCAGTTTGCATCTCATGAAAAAGGTATTGGGTATTTCAGATGAATTGTCAAAATCATTACAAAGGAGAGATCAAGATAGTGTCAACGCTATGAAATTAGTGAAAATAAGTAAAGAACGACTTTAAGCAATGAGGGACAATGAATGGGAATCATTTTTAAGAACAGTTTTCTGCTTTTGCGAAAGGTACAATATTGATGTTCCCAATATGGACGATATATTTATACCTCCAGGCCGTTCACGGCGTAGCACTCAAGAAATTACAAATCTACATCATTTTTGTGTGGATCTCTTCTATGCTATTATCGATATGCAAATTCAAGAGTTGAATGATCGTTTCTCTGAGGTAAATAGTGACTTACTCTTTTGTGTTGCACGCTTGTGTCCGGATAATTCATTCTTTGCTTTCAACAAGGATAAGTTAATTCAATTGTGTGAGTATTATCCCAAAAATTTTAAACCAATAGAGATCTTAGCACTTGAAGAGCAAATTCAGACGTATATTATTGATATGCGCTTTCACAAAGATTTTGAAGGGTTACAAGGCCTTAATGATCTTGCAGAAAAAACATGAGGTGTACCCATTAGTTTACAGGCTTGTAACATTGACGTTAATTCTTCTAGTTGCAACTGCTACGATAGAAAGAGTATTTTCTGCAATGAAGATTGTCAAGAATTGACTACGTAATCGAATGGGAGATCAATGGTTAAGTGATAGTTTGGTTGCATATATTGAGAGCGATGTACTTGGTGATATTGATAACGATGTAATTATACGATGTTTTCAAAATATGAAAATGCGCAGGCTACAATTGTAGTAACATATGAATTTATTTTTGTTAATGATACGTTATTCGAAAAAAAAATTCATTTTTGACCCCACAGTCCGAAGTCTCTGGGTCCGCCCCTGGGTTCGAAATCGACAAACTAAAGAAATTAGAATAATAATTCTAATGAACAATTTGGTATACTAAACCAAACCACAAAAAAAGAATATTTTAACAAACGTTTAACACAGGGTTTCCATAAATTACAGAAAAAGTACATACAACTTGAAAAGAAAAATAATGGAAAACATTT